GACACGGGTGAAGAGCACTGAAAGAATTTCAATTCTTTGTATTGCTTTCTTGGGTTCAGTTTCAAAGTGTATGAAAGACTCAGAAGTGTCTTCTTTCTCCAGTTTGTACTGGACTACTCCTCCCAGGTTTTCAAAAACTCCCTTGAAAGACAGCATTTCTGTCCCTGATAGATGGGCACAGACACAGCGCTGTCTTGCAAACTGCTCATCACTTGGCACTGGGCCGTTTTCTGAAGTCTATGAGAGAAACATCTTATTCCCTAGCAGAAACTGAAAGCAAAGTTGGAGTGGTACTCTGACCGGTATTTCAGGATTGGACAGTTGATCACTGATGACAGAGCCCTAGTGGCAAAGTGTAAAATATGCTCATAGTTAATGTTTTAAGGAGAAGATAAACCCAAAAGGGAAACAAGATGGTAAACTAGAAGTATTAACCCCAAAGCGGAAAAAGAATGGCCTCCTTGGAACATCCCTCCTTGGCATCTTACCTGAAACATTCTGTCTAGCCTGCAACTGGTAGGCAAGATGTGACTCCCTTCTTTATAAGTACAACATGCTAAATTACTTTAGAGTTGTTTTCATAAATACACCATGCCAATGCTTACTGTCTGATTTTGCCACCTGGGAGCTTTAGTGGCGATGAAGCAGCTGAATTTTGAAAGAATTTTGTTATTAAATTGTAATTAAGTTGGAAGGCTGCTGGCACAGCAACATCCTATTCATTACATGTGGCAAAACTCTACAAAACTTTTGGAGCTGACCACAGCTTATCTCACCCACAGTAAAAGTACTGTATGATACAAAGCATTGTATAAGGCTGTGTAACAGACAGCTGTGTCGATACCCAGGTTTAACAGAGAGCAAGCCATGGTAATATTATTCCTTCATTCCCTCTCCTGAGCCACTTTCAGTCTTACACCTACGTACATATTTTCCAGACCATTTATTCTATCCTATACTGAAGAAAACGATCAAACAGGTAAGACAGCGAGGATTGGAAAAATTTATGTATGTCCCATCATCATAAACAAACACATGGGCTATGCTCAGGAAAGCTCTAAGGCTGCTGGAGCATCTAATTAGCCTGAACGTGGGCACTATGCATTTAAACAGGTTTGCAAGGGTCACATCTCTTTCTGTACCAGTGTATTCAGAGAGGACACAGCGTGCAGTTCAGAACTGCACTTCCAAGCAGGTATTTCTTAAGATGCTGTTGCTCTTTTGTGCTTCAGGATACATTTTCATTTGGTCATGACAGCATAACCAGCAGTCTTTCTTTTGCTTGCTGTGGGGCAATAACTTTACTGTGCTCTATTAATTAAAGCTATGGGTATTATTAAGTGGAATGGCTGCTGAGAGTATGAAAAAAAGCATTGCTACATTGTCAGCAAAGAGACTGCTCTGAGTTTTAAGTGGAGATTTGCTAGAGTGGGTTTTTGAAGTTCAGGATCACTGTAAACAAAATATATTCAGCTGATACCTGAAGAAATATCTGAACAAGAAAGACAAAGCAGGTCCTGAGTAAGGAAACCTTTTGCAAATATTTCAGCTGCTTAGGTGATTAAAATATATTACTCCAACATGAAATTGAGAACAATTATTTTAATAGTTTAAGAAGTTCATTCAACTCTAAAGTTAAGTCTGGTTTGATGACTAAAATACAGGGCAAGGAACCAGAAGACACAAAGTCTATTTTCAGCATTACCACTGACTCACTGTGTGATATTAAGCAAGTCACTTAATTTAACTGTCTCACTCTCTATCTCACCTGTAAAATGAGGGAGCCTACCTCACAAGCTCTTTGTGGGATTAATTAATTAAACATTTCCTCTGCACCTAACGTTTCTTGGATATACGGTGCTGGAAAATTTATTTTTTAAGATATATATAAACAGGATACAAAAGCAGAGTTAGGTGGCTTTTATACAGGAAATTCACATATCTTTTAAGTATGACAACAAAATCATTAACTACAGGACCTGTTGGTCACCAACCCAAGTGAGCTAATTGATGACATCAGTATTGGAGGCAGCCTGGGCTGCAGTGATCATGCACTGCTGGAGTTCACAGTCCTTAGGGATATGTGTTAGTTGAAGAGCAAAGTCAGGATTCAGAATTTATGGAAAGCAAACTTCCAGCTCTTCAAAGAGTGAGCAGTAGGGAACTATTGTCCCTTGGGAAAATGCAGCTGGGGACAAGGGAGCAGAACAGAGCTGGCAGATCTGGATGCTTTCCATAGAGAGCAAGAGCTCTCAATACCCAGGTGTAAGAAATCAGGAAAAGGAAGGAAAGAGAGCAGCATGGCAGAGTTGAGACCTGCTGGTCAAACTAAAGGGCAAGAAGGAAATGCACAGGCAGTGCAAGGAAGGACAGGTATCCTGGGAAGAGCATAGGCACTCTGCCCAGTTGTGTAGGGATGGGGTCAGGAAGGCCATGGCACAGCTGGAGCTGAACTTGGCAAGGGATTCAAAGAATAGTAAGAAAGGCTTCTACAGGTCAGCCAGAAAAGTAAAGTCAAAGAAATCATATTCCCCTGATGATCAAGACTGGAAAACAACAAATGCAGAGAAGGCTGAGGTACTCAAGACATTTTTTTCCTCAGTCTTCACTGGCAAACTCCCCTCCCACACCTCCTGAGTGGATGGCCAGCAGGATGGGGACTGGAGAAGAAGTTAAGGTTTGTGAACTTCTGAGAAACCTGAACATTTAAGGGACTATGGGACCTGATGAGAAGTTGTCAAGTCACTCTCCATGATATTTGAAAAGTCACAGCAGTCAGGTGAAGTCCCTGGTGACTGGAAAAAGGGGAACAATGCACCCATTTTTAAGAAGGGTAGAATGGAGGACTCTGGGAACTACTGACCTGTCAGTGCTTCGGGAAAATCATGGAACAGGTACTCCTAGAACCTATGCTAAGGCACATGGAGGACAGGGAGGTGATTTGGAACATTCAGCATGGCTTCACAAAGGGCAAGTCCTGATTCATCAACCCAGTGGCCTGACTACATCACATATTCTAGGATTCTAAAACTGTGAGTGAAGCCCTTTAAATGAGTTTATAAATTGAAAAATAGCATAGCTAGAAACTAGACAGACCAAACTATAAGTTAGAATAAAAATATATCGTCACTCTTCAGTAGAGTACAGAATTGAAAGAATAAAGTGAGTTTTTTCTATGATGTATAAGCAAATTTACATCTAATGGAAGTGAAAGGCAACAATTTAAACATAGAGAAATGGAATAATAATTTTTTTTTTTAAATCCCACAGTTTTTAACTCATGGCCACACATCACTGTTAGCTGGAGCTAGTGAATTCAAGAAACAAACATTTCCATGGAAATGTGAATATCCTCTGTGATATTCTATTAAGCAAAAGAGTTACAAATCCCTTGTGTTGCACAGTAAAAGCCAGCTACTAACTGATAGGCATATAAAAACATCTCCTGTGAAGCCTATTTGGCAGTTGATGTCTCCGGACTTACTTGTAGCTGTATCAGAAGCACCTGGTATAGGTCACTGGTGGAGGCAGAACCCTGGAGTAAGCGGACTAATGGTCACCTCTAGTACAGCAATCCTCATGCTACTGAGGCCAGACCAAACAGCACACAGCATGTCTTGAGCATCCTTCTGCTCTTACCATAACTATGCTGTAGAAAACATCAGGTTTGTTGTCATAAAATTAACTACATCAGCAACAGAAGAGGGTCCAGCACCTTTTAACCTAAGAGTTTTTACCTCACAATGCAGTTTAGCAGACAAGGATAATGTGTTTTACTAACACTGTGCTATGACCCTATGAAGGAGCCTATCAAAACCATAGTGAACAAAATAAAATTAGATAAAGTTGTGTGATCAAGGAGATAAGCAAAGGTTATGTATTTTCTATACAGTTGCTTACCTCACCAAAGACTTTTTTGGGAGCAAGGACAAAATTTATTTGCACATTTTTGAAGCCAGTTACTGTTATCTTAAATACTCACAAAAATATCACAGCTGCTTTCTGTTGGTTCCATTCAAACTAGATTGAGGCCTTTATGTAAAGCACAGTCATAAAACTTTTACAACTTTGGAATGAAGTTAGTGTTTAGTATTCTGCCAGGATAACATGCACAATAAAATTCAGATGTTCTATATATAAATAACTTCTGCAATATCAACTGGTGGATATAAATGCAAGTCATTTATTTACTTTCATTATAACATTTGTTATGCTGTGAATTCTGGATCACACAACACTATTCATAACTATAAATATAACTATATTACTGATATAGTTAACAAGTTACTACCAAATTAGCATTTCAGAGACATCTAGACAAAACCTTAAGCCCTACACCAAGAATGGTAGAGCGTTTAGCTCTGCATTTCAGAGCTAAAGACCAAGATGGAGAAGTGCAGAAATAACACCACCGCCACCACAGGTTATGTAGTTATACTAAAAAGAGTCAATGACTCACTGTCAATGTTTACTTGGCCTGTATGCTTTAGGGATGAGTGGAGATTAGTGAAGAGAACTAGCTCTTTTATTCTCCTTTCATTTTGCTTATTACTACCTCACACTACTGCATTCCTTAAATCAAACCAGATAAAGAATAAACAAGAGGTGCTTGTCATCCAGCATTAATACAGTGCCATGTGGTCACTCACAGCTGTTTGTGTGTACATTTTATCAGTTGTGTTTTTTCTTTTCTGTCCAACCCCAACAAATGGGTATGTTGCCTGGCACAGCACATGTACCTTGACCCTTTCCTACACCAAACCCATACCTTTAATCCAATCTCTGCACCCCAAGAGCCTCCCACGTCGCTGCTGTTCCTCTTCTCACCCCAGCTGGGCCAGGAAACTCCCTTCTCACTTCAGTGATTAATAATGACAGCAAGTTCTCCTTTCACTTTGTGTCCCAAACTGCACACACATGTCAATACATAGAGAAGTGATCTTTCTCCGATGCACCTTTACAAGCCAGATAAATTGTTTGCTCTCTCAGCTGATACTCACTGTGCTTAAAGGGCCTTTCGTCCTAGAGCAGCAGTTCCTTAAGGAGCATGAATTAGGCAGGCAGGAGGACGGTGGCAGAGGTAGCTCCACTATGGTATTACAGACCAATTCACATGATGACTGTAGCTGGACTCCTCCTAGTGCCTCAGAAGGCTACAAGAAAAGGGAAGGGCTCAGGATATGATATCATGAACTCATTCTAAAAACAAGGAAACTGTTGTAGATGACTGGAAAAGTAACAGCTTAAAAATTGCTGAATGGCCAATAACAGAATATTACTTTTCTGATTCATCTTCCCTACCCTTTCCAGTGGAAAGTTTCAATAAATGCAAATTACAAACTTAGAAAACTATATTTACATCATTACTAGGACTAACCTAAGAGACCTATTACAGCTGAGTCACCTCAGAGCATTGCTTAGTGTTGCCTGGCGTTCTCTGTGCTTGTGTCAGACCTCAAGCTTTGAGCTTGTTACCAGGCCTGTTCAGGCAAATGTGCCTGTCCCTGACACAGCTGGGTTTGTGTAAGCACCAGGGACCCACGTGTACCCACTCCTTGCCAGTATCCTGACTTGTTTATTGCCTTTTTCAGGGAAAGTAAAGCACCGAAGTGGTTTAAGAAACCAATTAATATTTTCTAAAGCAATGTAAGCAAGCAGGTTTTTAAATCTCATGGAAACTCCATGTGATTTTGTGCAGATTTGCGGGGGTAAGTTTTACTCCTTAGATCCTTTTCTAATTGCAAGCCTGCTTTAATGTAATAATCCATTTACAGGGCTATATTATTATAAATTTATTTCCCAAGTCATTGTTTACAGCCTTTAAAAAAGAAATTAATAAACATTTGAAGCAAAGCAGATGTCCTAACTCAGCACAATTGTTCTTAACCTGGATTTAACTTTGAAGTTTGCTGTTTTTATTTCAGATCCGAAGAAGCACCTGCATGCCTGGAAGCTTGTCTGTTCTTTCCAGCTTTATCAATTGGTCTAATAAGCCACTCATTTTTTCTTTCAAGTTGCCAGGATAATTTTGTTTCTGTTGTAATCCCATAAAACACACTTAGAGGAAAATTTAGCCCAGCCTTCAAGCATGCTACAGTTTTATGTTGTGTTAGGAGTTGCTACATTCTCTGTTGCAGCAGTCATTGTGCTTGCCTTTCAGATTTCTTTTTCTGTGTTAAAAATTTCCTGTGATTACTTTTCATGTAATTTATCCCAGATTCAGCATTAAGGCCACCCATGAGTGATATATTGTTTATCGTCATTTTTCCTGTATTGGCTTTTAGTTTAATGGCTTGAATTTGGGGGGACTTTATCATATTAAATCAGTTTAGTGACTGAGCATTTTATGATTCAGTATTTGTCAGTACCCTTCTACTGAGCTGCATAACAGGGTGTTGCTCTTGCAGCTCTATTGTTTAAAAATAAATATTCTGCTGCCAGATTCCTTGTTCTGTTTGTGCCCTTTGTTAGTGGACTTTCAATTTCAGGAACTTGTTCTATTTAAGAAGATAGTGGACAAACAATACTTTATAATATAATATTTATTAAACAGATGCTGATATTATCAATGCTTGTTTATCTGGTGGTGATGCATCTCCCAAATAAACCAGCTGTAGTGGTAAAATAAACTTGACCACAGAAGCATTTTCCTCATAAAGACTTTAGGGATTTTTTACCTACTTGTGCTTCAGGATCAAGGATCTTGAGTGTGCAGTAAGGGGCAGTGACATCTCAAACAGAAACTCTTTGTGAGATTGAGGAGTGTGACTAAAGATCACTAATGCCTTCACTTTTATAGAATTTGGGAAGTCCTTCTCAAAAACAGAGATACAGTTTACATTTGTGTTTCTGTTTCTCAACATCTTGTAGTAAACCTGGATAGGGAAGTAGTTTGGAGCTTGGGAAAGAGGTGGAAGGGATTTATAATACAGGGAAATGAGGTAAAGCCAGGATTTTAATTTTATAGTAGGAGAGACAGGGGCGAGCAGGAGTAAAAAGGGATCATGGCAGGCAGGGAGAAAAGAAAGGATTGTTTCACAGGTCAGATAAGGTTGTGTGTGGGAGGATAACTTGGATGATGAGAAGGCAGCAGGACCATAACTACCTCCTGATTTGGGTACCTCTTACAACCCTAAATGAATCTTTAAAACTGTGTCATAGTTAAAAATATCTTGCCAGTTCTGGCTTGAGATTGATTACAGAAGCTTCCAGATCATTTTGCTCTCTTAGGCTCCCTGTGCAATTTCAGCTGGATAGTACACTTCACATTTAAGACAGTGCTGATATTTTGGTCTGCTGCTGTTCTGTTCCAGAGAAAGTCGCCTTCTGGGAGAAAGAGCTACAGGTCCTGCAGCATGCAAACATAGGCAACACATAACATTTGTACACAGATTTGTTCATAAATAACTCCAGTTTTGATCACAATTAGTTCTCTTAAAGATCACTGGACTAAAACATGCTTTATAAATACATGCAAAAGTTGTTCTTCATGACAATACCAAGGAGTTGGAGCAGTGATGAGAAATTTTACTAGTGAGCAGTAGAAAACATTTTCCAACACTGATAAAAAGGAAGAACAAAAATTGAGGAAGAATTATTTTCCTTTGCTGATTATTTAATTGCTCTGGAAAATACAGTGTGATTGTTAAAACTGCTGTCAGGTGTACAGGAGCAGTGCTGGCAGCAATTTTGTTTTGCAATAGCAGAATGCAAAGAGGAATATAGATGTGTGAAAAGAGGGTAAAGATCTGTAAGAAGGGTGAGATCTGTTTGTATCCCTAAGAACTGAAGTCCAGGTGATTTAGAATAGGAAATCATTTTTAGGGATGTAAACATGTTAACTGATGATTCCTCACAATACTGTTGTGAAGCAGGGAAAGATTATGCCTTGTTTTGACAGATGGAGAAACACGGACAGAAAAGGCTGAGTTCTTACCAGGAACTTCGCCAGCTTCTTTCAAAGTAGTTTCCAAGGAAGATCTTTCCGTTCAGAAAGCTTGAAGCTACAGAAATCTCTCCAAGTTTCCCTCCATTATTGTGGGAGGACAGAGATGATCATTGGTGTTGAAGGTACTGGCCTGGCCTTTTTTTCAGCTCTGACTGGATTATAATCTGAACAAAGAACAAGCAGAAACAACCTTTTCTCTGTGGTGACTCACTCTGCCAGAGGAAGATTAGTGAATGGAAATTTGTGTCTGCCTGTCCTAGCTAGTAAATATGTACCCATCCCTGCACAGGGCCAGGGGCAAAGCACCAGGGCAGGAGTGGAAGCCTGAGTTGAGTAGTCACAGCTTTTTTGCTGTTGGCACTCCAGCATTAACAGAAGTAACAGCAGAGGACTCCTAGGCTGATTTCCAGCATTATAACAGACCTTACCCTTGAAGGATGTCAGGTGCTCAGTGTCAGCTCTCCCATTTACCCTTTCTGCTCACAGTCTGAGCAAGGCATGTTCCAACCTTTCCCCAACACACTCTTGTCACGTAATCTCGAGTGTAACAGGACTGTTAATTTTTTCTAGGTCTTTTCACAAGAGAAATTATTCAGTCTAAACCTCATGTAACTTCAGGTTCATTTTGTACTGCCCTATTAATCAGTAAAGTGGTAATGTGGTAACCAGAACTTCACAGTGGCAAAGATAGGTAGAGAAGCAAGAAGTCATTGCCTTCTATATTTAATAAATATTTGTTAAAAATCCAGTCTGTTTCTTTTCTTCATTCTGGTCATTAACCACACTTGCATCAGGATAGTTCATATGGCCAGCTGTACTTTGGCTTTGCCATTCCTTTCCAGAAGTTTCTGAAATAGAGAGACTTGATTATTTGCCAGCTAAACAAACTTCAGCTCATTTTTACCTCATACTGATAAATCCAGTCTGAATGTTGCCAGCAACAGGCTTTTGGTATATCTATACTCACATCCTGAATGTAGCCTTCACAAGAGGTCCAAACAGAAACATCCTTTGGAAGCTCTCATCAAGGCAACTTCTCTCTGTAACGAACAGTTCTTGAAACAAATATGGAGATAAACAGGATCACAACAACATAACTTTGTGCCTGCTAGTGCACCTAAAACTTCAGGAGTTTAAAACCTTTAAACTCTATCACATAAATAAAGGCTGCTCATACCTCTCTATAAAGAAGTATTTTAATTAATCTTAATGATCCAGGGGCTAAGAAATACTCACTGTGTCACTCATTGATCACAGGACATGAATGAAGTTCCTGCTTCCAGTGTACCTTATTTCATCAATCTCTGTAATTTCCCCCCACAACATCATCCCAAACCACTGGGCCCAGTCTCTCTGTTCCAAGTTTCTAATGCAATCTGAGTAGTGTTTAAATAACTCTTCCTATCTCATTTTCATGGTACACACAGAGAGGCCAAGAATCCCTTTCTGAACCCTGGCACAGGGTCTTCAGAGGGTCTCCACATGAAGCTGGAAGTGGGGTGTCAGGTTGGGAGAGTCCTTTTCTGGCTTATTCAAGATTTCCTTAGCTTCACCAAGGCTTACAAGCTTCTAGTTTAGCCTGTTCAGAAAGGAAAGGCAAGACAAAACCCACTCAGCTAGCAAAACATTTTCTTTATCATCACTTCTTATTCTTAAAAAAACCCTCCCGAGTTACACATCTTTGCGAAATCACAAGTGATTCGTCTTTTCCCAGCCTAATCTCACTCCTGTGGCTTCCAGGTTTTATCAGCATTTCAGGTGAGACAGAAAGCCTCCTGTTGCTCTCTCCAGATTATCTGTCTTAATATTTGGCAATGATTTTCTCTCATTTTCAGAGAAGCCTCCCTCTTTATAGGTAAGCTGCCCTCTTTAGTCATACGCCCCAGCCAAAATACACCAGCTCTTGAATTTGTTGTTTTTTGGAGTTAGGATAGGAATGGGAGACATTCAGAGATAACAGCTCTTGACTGCCTGATGTTGGTCTCTCAACTATAGTTATTGCAGGTCGAGAGGCCAAGCACTGTCCCTGGTCTGAGCAGCATAACAGACTGTCCATCCAGGCTTTCAGTACTTACTAGAAGACAGAATAGCAAACCTAATACAAATATGGGCTCACAGTACAAAGCCAGCATATAATTCAGTGCAGATATTTTTGCTTCTCTTATGTGCACCTCATCTTTTGTAATAAAAGCTATTGGGATGACAAGTAGTTATTGGTTAGGATAAGAACAAAGGGGAGAGAGGAAAACATGACTCAGAGTGGGTTACTTGTTAAAGAAACTCATTATTTAAGTATTAAAATAGGAAACACATTGCAGAGAAAGAAAAGGCTCCATTTAACTGCTTTTCAGAATTATTCCTTGTCATTGTAATCTACCAGGTATCAGCTAGTCTAATTAATCATATCTGTAATTGCCATGCATAAAATAAGCATGTTCCTTTGGGGGAGAAAAATGTGCAGGGCTGTGTGGTGTGATTTGCTTCTGGTTTTTATCCACCTGTCCTGTACTTCAGCTTCTCCTAATGAAAGAGGATGTTCTGTGCCCCTGAAATGAGGTACCAAATACATATTAACCTGTGTAAGTTTCAAAGTCAGCTCACCTTTCACAAGAAGACAGAAAAACAAAAGTAGAATTCATCACAGGGTATTTGACTCTTATCTAAAGCAATTACATATATCTAAATTACATTTCAACTATTGAGAAAGTCTTTAATTTAGTTTAACCTTCACTGAACTCTGCTTTGCACAAAGTACCTTGGGCAGAACATTTCCCTTAGCTGTGTTCTATTAAGCCACTAGATGTCCCTCGTTCCTACATAAAGCTCCAGGTAGGAGACAATCCAGGAGGAAACAGCAGGATTAAGGTGCAACTCATGCAGTGACGAAGCACATCTGTGTTCCCAGCATGCAGGGGTTTTCTGCAATCAGTGCTGGTCTTTTGTGTAATCCTGTGAATCACAGCAATTCCAGATACTGGTGTGCCAAACCCATAACCAATGTAACTGTGTTTAAACAAATCACAGAGTCATCAAGGTTAGAAAAGACAAAGATCATCAAGTCCAGCCTTCAAACCAGAACCACCGTGCCCACTGAACTGTACTGTTTAGTGCTGTGTCTACTTGTTTTTTGAACACTTCCAGGGATGGTGACTCCACCGCTTTCCTGGGCAGCCTGCTCCAATTTAACCACTCTTTCAGTGAAGACATTTTTAAAATATCCAACCTGAACCTCCCATGGCACAATAAAGTGCATATATGGCAAATACAAAAATCAGATGAGACTGAAGAAAGCAGATGAAGACGGTATTGAGGAAAATAGGCTACAAACCCAGGGATCACAGAGTAAACTGCATCATCAGGGGTTGGACTTGATGATCTTGGAGGTCTTTTCCAACCCAATCTATTCTATGATTCTATGATTCTATGATTCCTTTCCCAACTTTCCATTGACAGCTGAATTTTCCATATACATATGTTATTACTGACTTATTTTGCCATTCATGAAGTAAAATAGTACCGTTTCTCTTGGCAGACAGAATGGATCTTATTTTATGAAAGCATGGATTTGGCTGTAATATATTTGGGGCATGGATGGACCACATCACCACGTGGATTTAGATAATTACAGACTATCCAGGGAATGGTCACTTCAGTATCAGACTGAGAATATTGGGCAATGTAAGCCAGAGATGACACAAATAATGGCATTTGACTTACACTGGTGATGATGAAAGCAAAGTCAAACACTTCTTTGGAGGAAACAAAATGTTTTACCAAGCAAATAGTGTCAGGAAACTGCTTGCAACTGTCCATGAACTGTATGATGCCCTCTTCCCTTCCTGCATCCTATCTGCCTTTAGCAAGTTTCCTGACCCCTATTAGTTAATTTATACCATCAGCAAGACCCTGCCACAGAAAGTGCTGCATCTCCAATTCTCTTTTGGAAGCTCTTCCTCAGATTAGGACTTGCTTCCTTGGTATTTTAAATTCATGGAGTGGAAAGATCACATCTAAGGAAAAGAAATCAAGAAATCCTTCCTCCGGATCAGTTTTGCTTTTTAAGTCATGTGAGTGATGGCAAATTATATCTGCCTAAGAAACAGTACTCAAATGCCCATTGGGGGTTTTTTATGTCACCAAAATGTTCATGACAGAAGGTCACAGCATGTCTCTTTTCCAGTCGTTTTTGAAACAGGGGTGCTGCCATTTTTCAGTGAGGATACATGCAGAGGGTTCTGCCACCTCAGTGTACTGGTTTCCTATTTTCAATGCCACTTGACTGAATAATAGAGATTTTCATTACTAATTAAGTATCAGATCATGGGGCATGCTCTCAATGTTATTTATGCTTTTAATGCCTGATGATTTCAGGGGGAGAATAAGCAGCTAAATGCCTTTATGAGTTTTGATCCTGTCCTTAAAAGATGAAGGGAAAAAAATTATGCAGTTCTCAAGAATGTATTTGTTTGTCCATAGCTTTATCAAAGCATGGAGAGCTGGGAATGCAGAAACTGAAACCTACACAATATGCTTATGGTCTTCTCTACATGAGACCTTTGAATTCTTCCTCTGGTTCTCCCTCCCAGCTGTCCTCAGATTGACTCCAACCGAGTGAGAGGTGGTTGAAAAGATGATATATACAACCACTGCTGGCCCTTCAGTTACTGAATCCAATCTGGAGCTACTCAGGTCATAGCTTACAAAAATCTTGCAATTAATATATTGTGTACTGGTGATCAGTCTCTACCAGGCCATCTACCACAGAGGGTCAAATCCAGAGCCCGGTGGCCATCAATGTGACATTTCCATTGTCTTCAGTGGTATTTGTATCAGATTGTTATTTCCACTGATGAAAGATAAACCATTTGGGGGCTAAAAAATCTTGGGGGCATTTGGGGGCTAATAAATCTTACAGTTCCATATAATCCCTGGTGTTCTTTCTAATGTTTAATAGCTCTGCTCTCACCAGTTATCTCACTCAGTCTGAAGCTAAATGGGTTTTTTTTTCACAGGTTAATACACACATTACAAAGAATCTCCTTTCCCTTCCTGCTTATTTGTGTTGTTTGCCATCTTTTTAATAGGAACCTGAGAACTACGAAATGGAGAGAACAGAATGACCTATTGAACCAATTTTGCTCCACAGCAGAGCTGACAGGAAAACGGCTGCC